ATCGAGTTCTCCAAGATGGGGCTCAATTTAAGTCGAATTAGCTCAGGATAGGTTCATTTTGAGTCAAATTATCTTTGGAGAGGTTCATTTTGAGTCGAATTCTCAAAGATGAGTCGATTTTCTTCATTTTGAGTCGAATTCTCTCAAAGAGGCTCACATTGAGTCGAATTATCTCAGGAGTTCATTTTGAGTCAAATTCTCTTAAGAGAGGCTCACTTGGAGTATAATTATCTCAAGTGATGCAGTATAAGTGTCTCAGTTGAAGTTCAATTTGAATCTAATTGGCAGAGCTAGAGATAAAGATAAAGACATGTTGCAGCGATAAGGGCAGGAAGAGTTAAGGTAAATACAAACCGAGGAATAAGAATAAAGGCAGAATTAGAGATAAAGATTAAGTCAGAGCTAGAGATAGAGGTAAAGATAAGATAGTTAGAGAAAGCTGAAGACAGGCATAGAGTCAGCGTAAAAAAATTCTGAGCCAGTCCTTATCTATCTCCCCTTCTTTCCTCCTCCCTCCTCCCTTTTCCCTCCTCATTCCTACTTCCCCTCCTCCCTCCTACCTCCCTCCCTCCCTCCTCCTCCTGCTCTCCCTCCCTCCATCCCTCTCCCTCCTCCTCCCTCCATCCCCCTCCCTTCTCCATCCCTCCCTCCTCCCTCCTCCTCCCACCCCCTCCCAAACCTAGGCGTGGACGTGGAGTTCGAGCGCCTCCTGGAGACCCTCTTCGGCGGCGACTTCCTCAGCGCCTTCCGCCGGCAGCGCCCCGCGGCCTTCGTGGACCTCATGATCGCCTTCGAGTCGCGCAAGAGGAACGCGTCGCCGTTCAGGGAGAACCCGCTCAACATCGCCCTGCCGTTCTCCTTCATCGACCTCTTCAGGAAGTTCCGCGGGAAGGATGTGAGTGAAAGGGGGCGGGGAAGGGGGGGGGGAGGAGGGGTCTGGTATTATTGTTTGTGATTGTTGGTCTTTGATTGTTGTTGGCGCTGTTGTTATTTTTGTTGATACGTTTTTGATACTGATATTGTTGTTTTTGTTATTGTTGTTATCATCATCATTATCATCATCATCATCATCATCATCATCATTATCATTATCATCATCATCATCATCACCACATCATCATCATCATCATCATATCATTTTTATTATTGTTATTCTCATGATTATTCTTTTCATTTTCATGACCATCACCACCCTCATTATCATTATCCACCAACATCATTAGCATCATCACATTTATAATCATTTTCACTAAAACCATTGCATTTACGATTGCTACTACCGTCCTACTATCCTTCTTACAATCACGTCCTACTATCCTTCTTACAATCACCATCCTTCTCATCACTTACCACTACCACCACACCACCTTCACCGGTTCATCACCTTCACCAACCAGTCACCACACCGGTTCACCCTTCACCAACCAGTCACCACACCGGTTCACCCTTCACCAACCAGTCACCACACCGGTTCAACCTTCACCAACCACTATTCCTCTCGGCAGGTGGAGTGGGCGATCAAAAAACACCAACATCTGGGCGTGAGGTGGTCGGCGCAGGGCATGTTGAGGGTCGAGCAGGAGACCATGAGGCAGCTGTTCCTACCCACGCTCGCCAACATCACGCAGGTAAGGGAGAGGGGAGAGGAGAGGGAGGGGAGAGGGAGGGAAGGAGGGAGAGGGAGAGGGAGGGAGGAGTGGGAGAGGAGAGGGAGAGGAAGGGGGAAGGAGAGGGAGAGGGAAGGGGGAGGAGAGGGAGGGAGAGGGAGAGGGGTGGGAGAGGGGAGGAAGGAGAGGGAAGGGGGAAGAAGAGGGAGAGGGAAGGGAAGGAGAGGGAGAGGGAAAGGGAGGAGAGGAGGAGAGGGAGGGAGAGGAGAGGGGAAGAGAGGAGAGGGAGGAGAGGGAGAGAAGTGGGAGAGGGGGAAGGAGAGGGAGAGGAAAGGGGGGAGGAGGGGAGAGGGAGGGGGGAAGGGAGGGAGAGGAGAGGAGAGGGAGAGGGGAAGGAAGGGAGAGAGGGGAGGGAAGGAGAGGGAGAGGGGGAAGGAGAGGAAGGAGGGAGGAGAGGGGAAGGAGAGGGGGGAGAGGGAGAGGGAAGGGGAAAAAGGGAGGGAGGGAGGAGGGATGAAAAGGGAGAAGAAGGGAGCGGGAGTAAGAAAGAGTATAGGGAGTCAGGGAGCGAGACTAGATAGAAAAAGAAAGCAACCTGTCAGCAATGATAATCAACCCTGCCCTTCCCCATTACCAACCTTGACCCCCCATGACCTACCCTTACCCCCCTTACCCATGACCGACCCCTCCCCCCTCCCTTACAACGCTGACCCTCTTGATCCATGACCTACCATGACCCTGACCCTCCCCCTCCCTTACCAACGCTGACCTCTGATCTAACCAATGACCTACCATGACCCTGACCCCCCCCCCCTCCTTACCAACGCTGACCCTCTTGATCTAACCATGACCTACCATGACCCTGACCCTCCCCCTCCCTTACCAACGCTGACCCTCTTGATCTAACCTTGACTCCCCTTAACCTACCACGAACCCACCCTGACACCCCTCCCTTGACCCACCCTGACCCCCTCTAACCTACCACGACCCACCCTGACCCCCTCTAACCTACCACGACCACCCTGACCCCCTCTAACCTACCACGACCCGCCGTGACCCCTTCTCCTCTTCGCAGGCCATCGAGTCGGTCCTCTCGGCTCCTGAAGTGGGCCCGCTGCAGTACATGTTTCTCGTGGGGGGCTTCGCTGAGTCAGAGCTCCTGCAGAAGCACATCCGCGACGTCTTCGGACACCGAGTCAACGTCATCATCCCGCAGGTGAGCAGAGCGAGGGAAGGGGGAGGGAGGAGGGAGGGGAAGAGGGAAGAGGGAGGAGAGGTTGGGAGGGAGGAGGAGAGAGGGAGAGGAGGGAGGGGAGGGACAGGAGAGGGTGGTGAAGAGGGGAGGAGAGAGGGAGAGGGAGGGAGGGAAGGGGGGAAGAGGGAGGAGAGGGTGGGAGAGGAAGAGGGGAGGAGGAGAGGGGAGGGGGAAGAGATAGAGGAGGGTTAGGGGGAAGAGGGGAAGAGAGGGAGGGAGGGGAGGGAGGAAAAGGGAAGATAGGAAGGGGAGGAGGGGAGGATAGGAGAGAGGGGGAAAGGGAACGAGAGGAAAGGAGGGGAAGAGCGGAAGAGAGGGAGGAGGGGAAGAGGGAGAAAAGGGGGGGGAGTGGGAAGGACAGGGAGAAGAAGAGATGAAGGGGATAGAGAGGAGGAAATGATTGTGGAAAAAAAAGATGGAAGGACAGGGAGGGGAATAAAGAGGAAGTGAAAAAAAAGGAAAAAGTGGCAAAGAGAAGGAGGAAGGAATGAGGAGAGGAGAGAAAAGGGAAAAAAGGGGGAGGAGATCTTACCAGATTCTTATCAACCTGCAAGAGGAACCAATTCAGTTACATTAATTGCGAGAAATCAATCATCTACGTCTCGTTTTTTAATGTTTTTTACTGCTATTTGTACATTGCCTTCTGAGTGTGTAACTTCTCCAACTCTTGATAAGTTTGAGAGGTCAGCTGATGTGTTTTTACTACGTTAATAGTTTCTTTCTTTCTTGGCTGTGTTTTGAGTTACACCCGACACATTCAGGGGTATTATTCTCTATTTTTTTCAGTGTGGCTCTTAATGTGGCTTACCATAATGGTAATTATGATAATAATGATAATAGTGATGGTGATGGAATTAATGAAAGAGAGGAGAGAGAGGGAGACGGAGAGGGAGACGGAGAGGGAGACGGAGAGGGAGACGGAGACGGAGACGGAGAGGGAGACGGAGAGGGAGACGGAGAGGGAGAGGGAGACGGAGACGGAGAGGAGAGGAGAGGGAGAGGAGAGGAGAGGGAGAGGGAGAGGGAGAGAGAGGGAGAGAGAGAGAGAGAGAGAGAGAGAGAGAGAGAGAGAGAGAGAGAGAGGAGAGAGGAGAGAGAGAGAGAGAGAGAGAGAGAGAGAGAGAGCATGAATGAGAGTGAGAAGAAGGGATGATGGGAGCAAGAGTTAGAGGGTCAGTGAGTACCAGAGATCTGCTGCGTCCTCCCGCTGACCGTTTCCTCCTTCCCCAGGGCATGGGGCTGGCCATCCTGCGCGGGGCGGTGCAGTTCGGGCTGGACCCGGGCGTGGTGACCGTGCGCCGCTCGCGCCTCACGTACGGCGTGGGCGTACTGAATCGGTTCCAGCACGGCTTGCACCCGCCCGACAAGAGGGTCGTGGCGGCGGGCGCCGAGTGGTGCGCCGACGTGCTGGACCGCTTCGTGGCGGTGGACGAGAGCGTGGCGGTGGGCGACGTGGTGGTGCGCTCCTACACGCCCGCGACGCCCGCGCAGTCGACCGTCATCCTGCACCTGTACGCCACGGAGAGACACGACGCCAAGGTAGGGGCGCTCGACCAGCATCCTTCCTCGCTGTGGCACCATTCGCCCTTCCTCGGCGAGACACTCTTCATCTGACCCTTGTGGCATCCTCTTATTTTACCATTCCTGTAAACATGCTATACCCCGTGCGCATGGGCCTTGAATAAACTTCTTAATCCGTGCGCATGGGCCTCGAATAAACTTCTTCCTCGTTCCTTGACAGTTCGTGACCGAGGACGGCGTGCGTCGCGTGGGAACCCTTCACCTCGACCTGGGATCCCCTCCTCCTCTTCCTCCCCCTTCGCCTCCGCCGGGCACCGAGGAGGACTCCCTCCCGCAGCGACGGGAGATCACCGTCCACATGAAGTTCGGCGACACGGAGGTCAAGGCCTCTGCCGTCGACCACCTCACCGGCCAGTGCGTCCGCGCCAATATCGATTTCTTAACACTCTAATGCATTGTGATACATGTATGTGTGCGTGTGCGTGCGCGTGCGCTTCAAAGACAAGATCGGTTAGCTTTCTCATTTTACTTTGGCATGAAGCTTGTCTGCATTACGTACTGGCCGCGTGCGCTCCAAAGGAACTGGAGAAGGATGCATGGGGAGGCGATGTCCTCGTCCATTCCCTCCGAAGGACTTTGTCGCAAAAGGGGATGATCTGATGTATAAATTCGAAGGATTTATGCAAGCTAGATGTCTCGTTGCGAGCAACTGTAGTTCCATAAGAATAACACTATTTAATTTTAATTTCATATGCATACATAAGCACTCAATAGTCAGAATATTTTTATAGTCTAGTTTCTCTTCTGAATCCTAGTATGAAAGATTTTTTTTTCCTTTGCTGTAGAAAGACAAATTATCTCTTTATATTGTTATGTTGATAACATGCTTCAGCATTATGCCAAAGGATTGTGTACATTTGTAAAATTATGATGTTTGAAATTTTATTATAGTTAAGTTATAGAAAAGAGTGCTTGCTTGCCTCTCAGTATTAGATGGATATACATAACAAGATGTATATTACTTTGGTATAAATGAGGAACTTGCAAGCCAGTGCTCTAAAACATCAAAGAATCTTCCAAGATACAGTTAATCCCCTAAGACAAGTTAAGCAAAAGGCGAGAGAGAGAGAGAGAGAGAGAGAGAGAGAGAGAGAGAGAGAGAGAGAGAGAGAGAGAGAGAGAGAGAGAGAGAGAGAGAGAGAGAGAGAGAGAGAGAAAGAAAGAAAGGGGGAAGAAGAAAAAGGCGTGGGGAAAAAGCAGAAGACTGGAAAGAGAAAGAGAAAAAAAAATGAGAAAAGAAGTGAAGAGGAGGAGGGGAGAGGAGGAGAGACACGGGCCGAGACAGACTCCAGATAGCATGGAGTGTTGCCAGCCCGCCATCGACTCCCAGCGACCCCATAAGAGCAGATCCAGACAAGGAACACATGGGCGAAGGGGACGGTGGTCAGCCTAAGCCCCTGGACACGAAATACCCAACGCAACTTCTAGTCAGATTTAGCAAATGTTTTCCGTACGAGAATTATCCTTTGTGCTCAAACTGGAAAAACAAAACAATAAGAAATACAGAAAGATAAGATTCTTCTGCCGTTGTTCAAATCTCCGTTGATAATTAGTCGTTTTGAAGTGTAAAATCTTGAATTATATCGTAGTTGCAAACAAAAGAAAGGGATTTAAAAAATTGCTTAGTATATGCCAATCGTTACGTTGTACAGTCACTACCAAATATATATAGAGAAAAACAAACAAACATGCCAGTCATATATTAGGGTTACTGGAATAAGACTTGTATATAATCTCCTTGTGTTATGTATCTTATAGACTATAATCTCAACCTTGTAAACTTACTCAGAGTTTGTGATTCCAAGGCATGTGTGACCCGTTGAAAGCTTTTTAAAATCCAGACCTCTTTTTATGCTGCAGGTAAAAAGTTGCTCTAAATAAAAGTCTGGATTTTAGGCTTTTAATGAATACACATGTATTAGTTATGTAAGTAACATGGATTGGCATACAGGTATTGCTGATCAGGTATTAAAGATTACAATAAAGATTTTAAGAGACTTTTATTGATGATCCAATATACAAGATCTCATGTTTTTTTTATGATCTCATATACAAGATCACCATGAGATGCACGCAAACACGTGCATACGCGTAACCCCCCCCCCCCCACACACACACACACACGCAAACACACACACACTCACTCACTCACTCACATTTTCTTGTTATAATTTTTCATCTCTCTCTCTCTCTCTCTCTCTCTCTCTCTCTCTCTCTCTCTCTCTCTCTCTCTCTCTCTCTCTCTCTCTCTCTCTCTCTCTCTCTCTAACACGTTACTTTTGACTAAATTAATTGGATACAGATAGAGTTAAACTTTGCTTATTATGCAGATAAAGCTTTTCACAGAAACCCAGGTGTTTATCGGTGTTCATGATAACAAACAAACTCACTCTCTCTCTCTCTCTCTCTCTCTCTCTCTCTCTCTCTCTCTCTCTCTCTCTCTCTCTTCTCTCTCTCTCTCTCTCTCCTCCTTTCCCCTCTCTCTCCTTTTTTTCCGTCACCCCTATCACTCGTCCTCACATCTTTATCCCTTTCACCTCTTTCTTTTTCTCCTCTCACCCACTTTTATCTCTCCCCACACCTCTCTCTCTTTCTCTTCTCTCTCTCCTCTCTCTTTCTCTTACTCCTCCTCTCTCTCTCTCTCTCTCTCTCTCTCTCTCTCTCTCTCTCTCTCTCTCTCTCTCTCTCTCTCTCTCTCTCTCTCTCTCTCTCTCTCTCTCTCAATCTATAAAACACATTCCCTTTTCTCTCTTCCTTTGACATAATTGGAAATCCGATGGAGTAATCTCTTCCTATCTGCTCATTATGCTGATCCGAGTGTGTTTGTTGTTGTTACAAAGTGGGCTTTGATACCACGTAGAAGCTGGAAGTCAGTCGTAATTATCTACTCTCTCTCTCTTTCTTTCTTTCTCTCTCTCTCTTTCTTCTTTCTCTTACTTTCCTCTCTTTCTTTCTTTCTTTCTCTCTCTTCCTTTCTCTCTCTCTCTTTCTTTCTTTCTTTCTCTCTCTCTCTCTCTTTCCTTTCTCTCTCTCTCTTCTTTCTTTCTCTCTCTCTCT